GGGACACTCTTGTGGGACACTCTTGTGGCACACTCTTGTGGGGCACTCTTGTAGAACACTCTTGTGGGACAGTCTTGTAAGACACTCTTGTGGGACACTCTTGTGGGACACTCTTGTAGGACACTCTTGTAGGACACTCTTGTGGGACACTCTTGTGTGACACTCTTGTAGGAAACTCTTGTGGGACACTCTTGTGGGACACTCTTGTGGGACACTCTTATAGGACACTCTTGTGGGACACTCTTGTAGGACACTCTTGTAGGACACTCTCGTAGGACACTCTTGTGGGTCACTCTTGCAGGAGACTCTTGTGGGACGCTCTTGTGGGACACTCTGTGGGACACTCTTGTGGGACTCCTTGTGGGACACTCTTGTAGGATACTCTTGTGGGACAGTCTTGTAGGACACTCTTGTGGGACACTCTTGTGGGACACTCTTGTAGGACACTCCCGTGGCCGTGGGAGACTCCTGTAGGACACTCTTAAGGGACACTCTTGTGAGACACTCCACGTACTACAGTTGTACTACAAGGTCGCCAGTTCTCAGCTTCCAGCTCCACCGGACAAATCGCACTCTCGCCTGCATTTCGCGCACTCAACACGCACGATCTCCGCAGAGGGTTGCGCGCGCATGGGACAAATCGCACTCTCGCCTGCATTTCGCGCACTCGACACGCACGATCTCCGCAGAGGGTTGCGCGCGCATGGGACAAATCGCACTCTCGCCTGCATTTGGTGCACTCGACACGCACGATCTCCGCAGAGGGTTGCGCGTCAAGTCTCCAAAACGAGCGTTTCGTACGAGACTTCCTCAAAAACTCACACGTCAAAGTCTGCAAAACCAGCGTTTCGTACGAGACTTCCTCCAAAAGTCAAGCGGAAACACCCATCGGAGTACACACATCACGCAACCCTGCCAAGCAGTTTCGCGATTCCAGCCCCTCCAAACAACATCCGCTCACACGCCAATCACAATGTGACAGCGACATTCACCTCTACCACAACTCACAACCTCACGATTCCCTGCGCCTGCCACGAATCTTTCCCCATCCACACGTCTAACGCGCACAAAGTACTGCGCCTGCCACGAAATGTCACCTCCCTCACACCTCGCAACCTCACGATTCCCCGCGCCTGCCACGAGAATCGCACTTCCACGCCTCAAAACCCGCACGAAGTCCTGCGCCTGCCACGAAAAGTGACAATATCATCGCATGTGAGCTTCAACAAAATTTGCACCACACCACACGTTTGGAATGATTTCGACCCATTCTGAGCACACTCCCATCCACCAAAATCGCCATTTCAGCTGAGACTTGTCACGAAAACCGAGCTTCGATGCCACACCCTGAAACGCAAATCCCAATGGCACGGCCACATCCAACACCCAAAAACACGACTCCGTTTCTTGCGCGACATGTCGTTGTCATGCAAATCACAATGGAATAGCGTCGCAAACTGACACGTGACACATCCATGCAAAGTCACTTGCAAAAGCTTCCCCCAATGGCAACAAATTTGAGACGTGACGACGACGAGAGACGACGAGAGACGACGACAAACGACGAGAGACGACGACAAACGACGACAGACGACGAGAGACGACGACACGACGCAAGCCACGCGAACACAGCTCCAACCCCCAAACCCCCAACTATAAACGGGAACCCTTCGCTACGCATTCGGGAAAAATATATATAATACATATATATATATATATATATTAGAGAGAGAGAGAGCACTGCAGCATGTATCGAACAGTGAAACCAGTTCCAACAATGTTCAAACCCCGATGGTTCTTCCAAAAGGACGAGGTACGCGTGCTGCTGCTGCTGCTGCTGCCGCCGCAGGACGAGTATGCTTGTACTCCAATGCGCTTAGATGGAGGGCCATACTCGGAGGGTACAGTATATGTACAGTGAGAATAAGCAGGAAATTCGAACTGATGGCTGGTTCAACAGGTGGACCAACTTGGTACCGAGATCTTTGCTTATACCCACGAACTAAATTACCACCCTCAAGAAGTGGTACAAACTCCTCCGATACTGGATAGCCCCCCGGCCAATCAGATCATGAACAGGACCTTTCTTTCACAGCCATGCACTGGGCTTGAATCATGCACTACCATGCACTGCTTGGCACTGCCACGCCTAACGCGTCTTCGGCAGCAGATGGGCAACGTCGGCGAGGGTCTCAACACGTCCGGTCCGGTCACCGCTCCACGGCGAGGGAAAAACCGAAACAGGAGGTTGGGAACTCGAAGGATGACTTGTGGGTCGCCACCGCAGACTTTACAATACAAGACTCATCTTTTAGGATCCTTCTGATGCACTGTTTGTAGTATTCATATTTGGTTTCTATTTAAAGACACTTTAAGACTGTAGAGTGTGAGGCGAATCGACCCACGCAAAAAGCACAAAAATAGCTTCGCGGCACCATGTGGCCACGACAAAACCAACCACATGATTGTTGCGCAATTCGTTGCGCTTGGAATTTCTTGGATCCGATTCCAGTTTAAAGCAGTGAGTGGGTCTTATCACACATCAACTTTGCTTGCATGGACACAGTGTCAATTCCTTTCTAAGTTTAAGTGGTATCTGGATCCACCCTAAAACTAAACAAATGACCAACGACGGGCTGTTCACAGATGGGAGTCCATGCTCAACCATCATCCACCCGAGGAGTTCCTGCAAGTAAAGCCCCGTTGCCATACGTGGGTGCGACCTGACAGCTCCTCTGGTCTTCCCAGACTTCCGTTCTTCTCATAAAGGACACCAAAATCTCTCCGGCGCTTTCGGGCCACTCGGCACTCCAGGAGTTCAGGATTGTGATCCACCATCTTCAAGAAGAATTGGAATTTGGCCTCTTCAGGGAGCACACTGGGTGGACAAGAAACACACTGACTTGTTATTCCATATACAAGTGCAACCTACTTGGCACATACATATCTGACCTATCCCCAAATGAACACAAACACACCAAAAACATGGTGGTTGCAATGCTGTATGCATGTGTGATCCTAGCATGGAATGTGCGGTTCGTTCCAGTTCCGCTGTTGCTAGTTGAGAATATTCTTGCACACGAGGTTCACAAGAGTGGAATTCTCAATCCATCAAAACTAATCAAATTTAACACCACTGTTAATTTATACAGTATAGTATAATAGTATACTATATTACAATAGTAGTATACAGTACAACTTTGAACTCATGTTCAATCTTATTCACCATGTTCCAGCGTCCCCATCATCGGTCCCTGGTTCTGATCCTTCGATTGTCGAGTCTCCTCTGGATCCAAGGTCCCTTGCTCATCAAGCTGGAAGGTCACTCTGCGTGTACCAGGATGTACGCTTTGAACCTGCGTGCTGGAGACGGCTGACCACAAGCCAAGCCAAACAAGCCACATTAAGACGCCAAACTCTGTCAACGTTCACCTTCTCTAAATGAAATTGAATGAACTCGCAGCGATTGGCCCTCAGGCGCCCCATCTCTTTCATGGAAAGATGGCTTTGATGAAACACATGTTCAAACCAAAAGTCCCAACGCATCCCAACACCATTCTCACAAAAGGACAAATCCCACCTCAACTTGAGCTGCTTCAGGCGTGCCTTGCTCAACGGAGTCCACCGGCACGCATTGCTCAACATCCACTCGACTGGGTATCGAGTCCGCAGCACTGTAAGAGCAGCCCATGGCGCGAAGAGCCGGGTCTCAGCGGCCGTCGTCTGCGACGTCTGTGGCGTCGGACCGATGGAGCCGGGAAGGACCGACATATGGAGCTCAAGATGGCAAACTGTTCCAGTCCAATTTTTGGACAGTTGGGGGTTGTACATGCGGTCATCCTTTTCGATAAAACTTCCATGAACAGCATATGAAAGAACATACCTGAACCTCCAAGAGATTGGGACTTGAGACCTGGCCACAAGGGAATGGCTAGGCCACCAAGACAACTGCGATGATTGGAGGGTCGACCCTTAAACCTACAAAGGGGAAGTCCTTGCTGAACCAGCTACCTCCAACAAGATCCAATAGATTGCCAATGACCGGATGAATCTGGATGACCACAGCTGGGATGTAGAACCTCCATGACCAGGTCATGGAGGGTTTCAAAGGAGGGTGACCACGGCTGGCTCTCACGACAGCCTGGCTCTGCACGGTTTTGTTTCGGTGACCTAAGCTCTTTTGATAGCTACAACAGGTGGTCAAAATCAGTGAAAGAATTTACGAACAAACCTGCAAAAAAAACCGTAATATCCAGGTCTTGATCCTTTCCCTTGCCCCCTCTAGGTTCGCCGCCTTTGTTCCGGAAAGCGACTGGGCGTTTAGGGAAACACCATGAAACACCTATCCTCCAGCATTGGGCGGATGGGTTCTCCTTTCGATCCACACCTATCCTCCACCCAGCAAAAGCAACAGTCCTGAGTTCTTCCAATAAGTGCACACCTCCAGTCCACGCATGGCGCCGCGCCACGCTGCTGATAGCAGTAGCTACACAGGCAGTGTCCACCTCAAGCGAGCTTTTCGACAAGGGTCGGCAGGTTATTGCAACCCTGATTGACCTCCCAAAATGATCTACATGACATGGACCACCAAAAATAAAAATGTCAATCCCACCATGGCTTTCATCCATTTAGCGTGTCTACAGTAGGTCCTGGATGACTTGCAGCTTCTATGTTGACCACCTCTCGTACCTCACTCATCACCTCTCAACCTCACCCTGTTCTGCACCCCTTTTCTGCACCCCTGCACCTCTAAGTGCCGCTCTTCCAAAGCCCTCTGCAGCTCCAACCCCCACCGCCACGGTCCACCACGGTCGCAGGCGTTCATGGCGGCGCTGAGTGCGAAGGCATCCAGGCGGAGCGCCGTCTGAAGGGCCGTCCTCAGCTGAGGCGAAGGGGTTGGGTGCAGGTATGGGTGCAGTGCATAGTATAGTGCATAGACTTCATGTATGCCATATATGCCTACATTGACCGCCCAAACCACCCCAATGTAGACATATATGGCATGCATGGAGTCTATGGGTAGTGCTGGCGAGGTCACTGAGTTGAGGTCCGAAATTGTCAGGTCCAGGTCCCACGGTCTCCGGAGGTTGGGCCGTTTCGGCTGTGGCTGGGCTCAGCTGCAGGGTGCGGCGTCCGGATGGTCCGCCACTGGATCTCATGAGTCGCTGAAGAGTGTCACAGAAGTTGATTGGACCAACCAGTCCAAAGGAGGTTATCTAATTTTTGTGCTGTATTTTTGCCTATTTTTTACCAGGAGCTTGAAGATCCTTATAGATCTGCCTCCGACCTCAGTGGCACAGCGACTTGAGTACCGGGGCTTCACTTGATTGACTAGTACCGCTCCTAGAGTCGAAAGTCCTCGCGCCTGGAGGGGATGAGCAGCGGACACCCCGGCAGACCGGAACATCAGTGGCCAAGCTGCTCCAAGGACGCCAGGCAGCTCGTCCATTTCGAGGCTTTCCCAGCAGAACTGAGGCTCCTCACGGATCCCAATCGGCCGTTCCGGTGGCCGTTCGAAGCCACGGCACCGGCCTTCCAAAAGGCCCCGCCTTCCGTGGCCCCGGGGCTTGGGTGGTTTTCTGGGGCCAGGCGAAGCTGACCAGAATGGTTGGCCATCCTTGTCCGCTGCATTTCCTTGGCTTGGGTTATGGTTTTGGAGAACCAATCTCCCCAAAATGCCACTGGACACTCGGAAAGGTGCTCTGAGGTGGATCCCCCCCCAGTCTGAAACGATCAACCTGAGCTGAGTACCTCATGAGTACCTCCGGCGGACCCCTCGGAGCTGGTGGTCGCAAGCGGAGCTGCAAGCGGAACGAGTGAACCGACGCTCCTGGTGAAGTCTCGGAGTGACGAGGACCTGTCCATGGTGCATCATGTCCTCGGCGTTTCTCGGCTGCCTGGCATGCGTCGAAAAGAAGGACTCGACTCGGAGCAGTTCCAACATCAGGCAAGAAAAAGGGATCAAAAGGGTTTTTTGTTGAGTCCGGTGATGGATGTGATTTGGAGGGTATTCCTCCAAGTTCAAAGCACATGGAACGGTACAGTTCTCCCAAAGGCGGCTTGATGTTTGGGCTTGTCATTGGACCCACTGGTGCTGAACTGCTGGTGCCGTCCGAAGTGTCTTGGCTTGCAGTCAATACTGCTTGGAATCTGCGTGGTCGGAGTCTATAGGAGACATGTTTGGTCGGAGAAGACTTTGGTGGTCGGAGATGATAGAGGTGAGTCAAGGGGTCATTGTAACAGTTGTCCAAAGGGTTCCAAAGGCGGTTGTTGTTGAATTGAAGGATCAAAGAAACACACCATCAACAACAGGTGTCATCTATCGTGCTCCTCAAGCAAGTAAAACAATGTTCAGATCGCATCAAGCATCAAGCAAGTCTTTAAACCATGCAAATTCTACTCATACTATACTCATACTATACTCAATCTCCACCAGGACCAGTTCTTTGGACATGCTTCGATCTGTACATCCTCCAACTCGGGAGGCAGGGCGGCGGGTCCGGTCCGCCACCCTGGACCGAACCATACAGAACCGATCAAGACCCCCGTCCGGAGTCCAACACATATGTGTGTGTGGCTTTTTCACCAGACTGGTGAAGTGTCACATAACCTTTAGTCCTCTATTTCATTTGTGCTGAACTTGATTGAATCCCTATAGGTTTTGCAGGCGAGCCCCTGACTTGATAGGCCGAGAAGGAGCCAATTCTCGGATGTGGTAGACGTGCTTCGGTTCCCAAGATGGATTCGGGAGGTGTCCGAAAATCCCCGACCCACACCAAAGTTGGGTGGTAGAGTAACCGAAAAAACCGATCCAATCACAAGTACTGAGATGCCAGGTTTCTATCTTAAAGATTCGGTCCAAACTGGAGAGATTTTCCAAGTGGATCAAGACCTTCGTCGCTCAGCACTGCGAACTGGCCCGATGCCATCCCTCACTGGCACCAGGTTGGCGTGGAAAATCTCGGTGACCCCCAGTTGGCGCCATTTTTTGAGGATAACCTCTCCCGTCCACGAACAATTCAAAACGGATAATACATACCAGCTTCTTCAGTTCGTCACCTTTTTGGAGTCCCCTGTTGTGACCTCGTATACAGGCCTGTTTGTCCTCAAAGCAGGATATCAAAAGGTCACAAACTGAAGAACCAGGTACATGTCCAAATTCCATGCCCAAAAGGATTGTAACTACCAGGTACCATAAACCACCTATCGAAGGTTTCATCCAACGAAAGGACCTTGCATCCCCAGCGCTGATCAGCCACCTCTTCATCGCACAGCTGCTGTGTCGAAGCCACAGTCATCCAAAAAGGAGATTGAATCTGAGAGCGGTTTTGCTTTATGCGTCTTGACCATAGTTTATTCCAGTTCATATAGTATATCGAGATATATCGAGTATATTCATATAGTACCTGGAGTTGCGTTTGCCTGCTTTTTGTCAGCCATTTTGCGAATATGCCGTAATGACCAGGGAATATGGTCAAAGTTCAGCTTTATCCGTAATGACCAGAAAAAATGTCAGTCAAATGACTGAAATCGCTGGTTGTTTTGGTCATATTTGACTCAAATATGGATACTACCCAAACAACGCCAACAAAGACACAAAATAACCCAATAAACGCCCAAAATATATTTTGGCGTTTTCCCGGAAATGACCACAAAAATCAGACATAACAGCAAACCGTAATGACCAAAAAAAAGGCCACGGCCGTACGACCAGGAAAATTCAGCAATTTGCAGTTTCAGGTAGTATCTTTCAAGCGGATTCACTTTCAAAGCTCACTAGACAGCCACTGGAGGTTCCAGAAGCTCAAGAAAATGGTTTCTCCAGCGAAAGAAGATCCTCTTCCTCCCCGTGGCTTGCAGTGTAGTGTCAATCCTTTCGATACAAGTCTGACTTTCTTGCGCTTTCTTGGAGAAGTGATCTTTGCATTTATGTGCATTTCCTATGTCAGAAAAAATCTTGCCAATGGAGCCTCAAAAGGCATCGGGTGAGGGCTCCCAGGGCCAATTTCCCCTTTTGATGGCCAGGGCTGCCGAAGATTTGCAGCTTCCACCTTCCACTTCCCATGGAGCCGTGATGTCGGCTCCAATATGTCCGCATGAGGCGTTTCCAAGCCATGTCAATGAAGATTGAATATCCGCTTCCACCTTTGCTCGAAACAGTTTCTCGGAGGGCGGTCAGCGCGCACTGACCGTCAAAGGAAAGGATGGTCTGCTGGGGTGCCCAAGTAACTATATATATTCATTTCATATACCTATATATACTGTTAGCTTCTACTTTCTGTTTGAGCTTCTGTTCGTTTGGGACGGTATTTGAATGTGTCTTCATGATCTTTGGATCTCGTGATGTTCTTGCACCCGGTGGAGAGATCCCCTACGCGAAAGAATCAGCAAAACGGGTTGGTACGATGCATTCTACCTCTGACCCTCCTCGGGACCCGCCTTCAGAGCCTCTGATTTCAAGAGCCGCAGCCGAAGGTCTTTTCACTGCGACTCTTTCCGGGTCAGCTCTCATCTCATGTACCACACTCCAAACAGCCCGACCGGTCCCTCCATGGGTCCGTCGGGTCCGCCGGGTGGGGAGGTGTGCCTGACGTGCCAGGGCCAATCGGTGCCTACACGCGAGACCGTCGGCAGCAATGCATGGAGCTGTGGATGAATTGGTACACAAAGACTGCAAGCTTCTTTAGGTATTGCTGTGAATGCCGTAGGACACCCAAATGTTCTTTCCGTTTCCTTTGAAAGCCTTCTCGAGGTCGATGGCCCAACAACAAGTGGCAATTATCAAAGACATTGGCCCCCATGAATGTGAGGGACTGCGGAAGTTTCAAGCTAGTCAGTGAGCTGCAGTCTGCAAATGCACGGTCACCAATAGACGTTACAAGCTCGGGAATTGTCAAGCTTATCAAAGACCTGCAACCTTCGAAGGCAGAGCCTCCAATGGAAGTCACCGACTTGGGAATCATCAAGTGTTTGAGGGAAGTGCAGTTTCTGAATGTATTGATTTCAATGAAGGTCAAAGAGTCCGGAAGTGTCACGCTGACCAAGCTGCTGCAGTGTGAGAAGGCATAGAATCCAATGAAGTCCACACTGTTGGGAATGGTCAAGCTGGTTAAAGACTGGCAGAGTTCAAAAGCACATGCGCCAATGCATGTCATAGAGTTTCCCATTGTCAAGCTTCTCAAGCGACTGCATTCAGAGAATGATTGGACACCAATGGAGGTCACTGAATCTGGAAGTGTCACATGTGTCAAAGAAGAACAGCCTGTGAATGCATATGCATCAATAAAAGTCACGGAGTTTGAGATGATCACTGCAGACAATGAACGGCAATTGGCAAAGGCCTTCTTTTCGACGGATGTCGCAGAGTCTGGAATTCGCACCGTGATCAAGGCTTCGGGAAATACATGCGCTTCACCTTTGTTGCAACACTCAACTGCATCGATGGTGAAAAGTACTAGAACTTCTGCACTTGGAGAAATGCCAGCCTCCATCAACGAGACATTGTTGTCCTCCAGCTTTTGGCTTCCTACTAACACTTCCACCTTCGTTGCTCTGCACAAACCTTCGTCTTCAGGAAAATGCCATGCTTGGAGCTGCTGCTTGAAACTGCCTACGCTTGTGTCCGGCATCGCTTCCAGAACTGTGACCTCCCCGTTCAGTTGTGTCACAGCGACCTTCATTGCCATGGCGATGCCGGAAGCATCGGGATCTGGGGGAAGGGGCCCAAAAGGGCTTGGTCACTTGAGGCAGGCTGCATCGGTTTCCAAACTGTTCCAACACATGGATTGATTCAACAAGTGCCTTTCGCAGCTTGGAAGATGTGGGGAAGGAACACTGAAGAAACTCTCAGATGTCTAATATCTAGACTGACTCAACATATTTGACAAACCACCATAAACCACCCTTCCAGTGAATGCTATTGATTTGGATTCACCGCCAAAGTAAACATCACCTGGCAAGGGGGCCGGCCTGCGGGAATTTCCGGCTGCATGTATGGCAGCCCTGTGATCCATGGCACCCGAAAATAGATCCAAATCAAAGGCGCTACTAGTAACAAAGGGCATCGCTACGAACGGAGCAAGAAGCTTCCTTGGCGCTACACATCAGAATATCTTGGAGCTAGTGGAGGTTCTAGCGACTCTCACCAACCACAGTGGTGCGTGCGATTCTGAGCATACGTGCGGTTCTAGCGTAGACTGCATAGTGACTGACGTATACAAACCAAACTGCCGTCCCGATCCACTGTCATCTTCTTTTCGCTTCACGCAAGCACGAGGCTGCTGTCGGCACCGTGGTCCTGGGCAGTTGTTGGGCGGGCCTGAAACCGGAGGCACTGGAAGTGGGATTAAGTCCTTGTGGGAAAACAAACAACATTACCCAAACTGAGTGTGCACTCCCAATCATCGTTTTGTGGGTGGAACGGTAGAAACTCTTTGCTACAGCGGCGGCCATGTGACCGTGAGAGGGGCATCAAGAAGAAGAACATTGTGTTGTTTCTTGTTCGAAAGTGGCAGTGGAAATGGAAAACCCATCTCTTGATACAATTTGACAACAGGACAACATTGCTATTTCTTTACTGATACCAGGTTCTTCAGAACTAACAAGAACGCACATTGTGCCCAAATCTCTTGAACACTACACCCCTCGCTTCAATGTCGCTGCGCTAGCTTGGGATAACCACAAGCAAGGACAGCTGCTTCTTACCGGCCCCAAGTGAGGTGAGATGCAAACACAACATTAAAACTGGTAAGTCAGTGAGTTCGGAACTGCCAGCAAACACACTCTCTTCGATGGAGATCATTGTGTAATTGTCTCACTTGTCAAAGATTGGCAATCGCTGTCACCGAGGTGGGAATGGTCAAGTT